AATGGGCCTCCAGGAACTTTTCGCCATAATGTGCCCATATATACACAACATGTTATCGCATTATGTCAAATGATCCTCTTCAGTGGCACGCTAGTCATGGGTACTTCCATCTTCTTCTGGTCTTCCTTTCATATTTGCACTGTTCCGCCACTTGATTGGTTAGGCCATGATGATGTCACTCCTGAGCATGTGCACAGGAGTCACATCATCACAGCACAGGCTGGCGTTGTAAATGTACATGCACAGATCAGCATGCATTATGGCTGATGGGCAGGGAAAAGCAGTTATGACAGAAGAGACCAATATGCCCTACCTGTCATCATTTTTTTTGTTTAATTCCACTTTAAATTGACAGTAATTTAGCAGTAACCATGTTTCTGATTTCTAGCATCACTAATTTAAAAAAAGATCAAACAATCAGGCTGTTTCAGGCAGTCAGAGGCACTCATCTATTGGAAATCTGCTTGCAAGTGGAACCCAATCCTTTATTCTTCTAAGAATGAGCAGGAAAGGTCAAAGTACCACACATGTGTCACCATCTCTGGTACACCAATGACCTTTTTAAGGAAGGGATGATATCTTAACATATACCATTTAAATAAAAAACAAATATCCCCTGTGCTCAGGCTATTATTCAAACAATAGAAAAGCTGCTAGTAAAATTGATTGCTGATGGCAAATTTCAGTGTATTATAAACATAGGTGTGCAGCGCTAAACAATTTCGCAATCAAAGTAAAACATTAAAAAATGAAAAAAAAGGTGAAAAACATCCATGACAATGACACTATAAGTGACGGGTGTCAAAAGTCATATAGCAGTTCATACACAGTGCCAGTATTTTACACAGTGATGATGACTTCAGTGCTGAAACAGTTAGCACGGAAGTTTAAAGTGTCCACTGTTTCAATACTGAAGTCATCACTGTGTAATACACTGGGGCTGCGTATGTACTATTTATCTTTTGACACGCGTAACATATACCATTAAGGAGCAGATATCTGCCAATTTTTTAGCATCTTAAGACAGCAAAAGTGGTCTGATCAGGTTTACTCGCTATCACAATCTGTATGTAGAGAAGGAGCATAACCGGCTCAGCAGTAGACGGCTTATATAGTCTGATCTCAAGAGAAACATTGAATAGATTACATTACTTCCAAACATCGATCCCCGTAGGTCCACCCTAAGTCTGAAAATGACATGAATACTTAATGCATCACAAGTGTCAGACTTTTTTAGAAGCAACATGTTAAACTTTTTCTTGTATGTACCTTTTGTAGAAAAAAAGTGACAATGAAATCTTCATTTATGTTACAGGTGGTAAATTCTTTGTCCGATTCAGTCAGAAAATGGGGTAAGTAGAAACTTGGTTGACAAAAATATGGCAACACAAACACACATACAGTCAGGTCCATAAATTTTGGGACATTGACACAATTCTAACATTTTTTGCTCTATACACCACCACAATGGATGTGAAATGAAACAAACAAGATGTGCTTTAACTGTAGACTGTCAGCTTTAATTTGAGGGTATTTACATCCAAATCAGGTGAACGGTGTAGGAATTACAACAGTTTGCATATGTGCCTCCCACTTGTTAAGGGACCAAAAGTAATGGGACAGAATAATAATCATAAATCAAACTTTCACTTTTTAATACTTGGTTGCAAATCCTTTGCAGTCAATTACAGCCTGAAGTCTGGAATGCATAGACATCACCAGACGCTGGGTTTCATCCCTGGTGATGCTCTGCCAGGCCTCTACTGCAACTGTCTTCAGTTCCTGCTTGTTCTTGGGGCATTTTCCTTTCAGTTTTGTCTTCAGCAAGTGAAATGCATGCTCAATCGGATTCAGGTGCAGGTGATTGACTTGGCCATTGCATAACATTCCACTTCTTTCCCTTAAAAAACTCTTTGGTTGCTTTTGCAGTCTGCTTTGGGTCATTGTCCATCTGCACTGTGAAGCGGCGTCCAATGAGTTGTGAAGCATTTGGCTGAATATGAGCAGATAATATTGCCCAAAACACTTCAGAATTCATCCTGCTGCTTCTGTCAGCAGTCACATCATCAATAAATACAAGAAAACCAGTTCCATTGGCAGCCATACATGCCCACGCCATGACACTACCACCACCATGCTTCACTGATGAGGTGGTATGCTTAGGATCATGAGCAGTTCCTTTCCTTCTCCATACTCTTCTCTTCCCATCACTCTGGTACAAGTTGATCTTGGTCTCATCTGTCCATAGGATGTTGTTCCAGAACTGTGAAGGCTTTTTTAGATGTCGTTTGGCAAACTCTAATCTGGCCTTCCTGTTTTTGAGGCTCACCAATGGTTTACATCTTGTGGTGAACCCTCTGTATTCACTCTGGTGAAGTCTTTTCTTTATTGTTGACTTTGACACACATACACCTACCTCCTGGAGAGTGTTCTTACTCTGGCCAACTGTTGTGAAGGGTGTTTTCTTCACCAGGGAAAGAATTCTTTGGTCATCCACCACAGTTGTTCTCCGTGGTCTTCCGGGTCTTTTGGTGTTGCTGAGCTCACCGGTGCGTTCCTTCTTTTTAAGAATGTTCCAAACAGTTGTTTTGGCCACGCCTAATGTTTTTGCTATCTCTCTGATGGGTTTGTTTTGTTTTTTCAGCCTAATGATGGCTTGCTTCACTGATAGTGACAGCTCTTTGGATCTCATCTTGAGAGTTGACAGCACCAGATTCCAAATGCAAATAGCACACTTGAAATGAACTCTGGACCTTTTATCTGCTCATTGTAATTGGGATAATGAGGGAATAACACACACCTGGCCATGGAACAGCTGAGAAGCCAATTGTCCCATTACTTTTGGTCCCTTAACAAGTGGGAGGCACATATGCAAACTGTTGTAATTCCTACACCGTTCACCTGATTTGGATGTACAGTGGGGCAAAAAAGTATTTAGTCAGCCACCAATTGTGCAAGTTCTCCCACTTAAAAAGATCAGAGAGGCCTGTAATTGGCATCATAGGTAGACCTCAACTATGAGACACAAAATGAGAAAACAAATCCAGACAATCACATTGGCTGATTTGGAAAGAATTTATTTGCAAATTATGGTGGAAAATAAGTATTTGGTCACCTACAAACAAGCAAGATTTCTGGCTCTCACAGACCTGTACCTTCTTCTTTAAGAGGCTCCTCTGTCCTGCACTCATTACCTGTATCAATGGCACCTGTTTGAACTTGTTATCAGTATAAAAGACACCTGTCCACAACCTCAAACAGTCACACTCCAAACTCCACTATGGTGAAGACTAAAGAGCTGTCGAAGGACACCAGAAACAAAATTGTAGACCTGCACCAGGCTGGGAAGACTGAATCTGCAATAGGCAAGCAGCTTGATGTGAACAAATCAACTGTGGGAGCAATAATTAGAAAATGGAAGACATACAAGTCCACTGATAATCTCCCTCGATCTGGGGCTCCACGCAAGATCTCACCCCGTGGGGTCAAAATGATCACAAGAACGGTGAGCAAAAATCCCAGGACCACACGGGGGGACCTAGTGAATGACCTGCAGAGAGCTGGGACCAACGTAACAAAGGCTATCATCAGTAACACATTACACTGCCAGGGACTCAGATCCTGCAGTGCCAGACGTGTCCCCCTGCTTAAGCCAGTACGTGTCCGGGCCCGTCTGAAGTTTGCTAGAGAGCATTTGGATGATCCAGAAGAGGATTGGAAGAATGTCATATGGTCAGATGAAACCAAAATAGAACTGTTTGGTAGAAACACAAGTCGTCGTGTTTGGAGGAGAGAGAATGCTGAGTTGCATCCAAAGAACACCATACCTACTGTGAAGCATGGGGGTGGCAACATCATGCTTTGGGGCTGTTTCTCCGCAAAGGGACCAGGACGACTGATCCATGTACAGGACAGAATGAATGGGGCCATGTATCGTGAGATTTTGAGTGCAAACCTCCTTCCATCAGCAAGGGCATTGAAGATGAAACATGGCTGGGTCTTCCAACATGACAATGATCCCAAACATACTGCCCGGGCAACGAAGGAGTGGCTTCGTAAGAAGCATTTCAAGGTCCTGGAGTGGCCTAGCCAGTCTCCAGATCTCAACCCCAAAGAAAACCTTTGGAGGGAGTTGAAAGTCCGTGTTGCCAGCGACAGCCCCAAAACATCACTGCTCTAGAGGAGATCTGCATGGAGGAATGGGCCAACATACCAGCAACAGTGTGTGCCAACCTTGTGAAGAATTACAGGAAACGTTTGACCTCTGTCATTGCCAACAAAGGATATATAACAAAGTATTGAGATGAACTTTTGATATTGACCAAATACTTATTTTCCACCATAATTTGCAAATAAATTCTTTCCAAATCAGCCAATGTGATTGTCTGGATTTATTTTCTCATTTTGTCTCTCATAGTTGAGGTCTACCTATGATGCCAATTACAGGCCTCTCTGATCTTTTTAAGTGGGAGAACTTGCACAATTGGTGGCTGGCTAAATACTTTTTTTCCCCACTGTAAATACCCTCAAATTAAAGCTGACAGTCTGCAATTAAAGCACATCTTGTTCGTTTTATTTCAAATCCATTGTGGTGCTGTATAGAGCCAAAAATGTTAGAATTGTTTAGATGTCCCAATATTTATGGACCTGACTGTATGTGTGCCATACCTGTGGGATCCCAAAGGAAGTTGGAATTCACTGTAGTAGGCACCTTTAATACAGTGATCAGTAAATGTTGCCAGCATGGCTTTGCTGTCATTATTTTTTCTCTCCTTGGGTCTCTGTACAATTTTGCTATTTGAGGGCCAAAGTAAAAATATTTTAAAACAATTGAGTTGGGTAATAAGTGCAAAGCTGGATGAAACTCCTCTTTGTATGCATTTTTTATCTGTTACTACACCTGCTAATATTTGTTTAGTTATAGTGTCTTTATAATGTTTTATGTATCTCTAGGTTTTAGTATTAGATTTTTTTTTATGGAAATGCATTGATTTTTCAGGTTTTTGGATGAAAAAAGTAAAGAAATACTTGCTGCCATACCCAAACTATATACGGAAGACAATATTGTATGGTACCTAAACCAAACTAGTGAATTGCTGCTAGCTGATGTGTGTCCACTGCCAGTGCCACCACATAAACTTCCTTCAATGGCACAAGAGATCTTGATAAGAAAAGTGAAAAGTAAGTTCTGTTTTTGAGAATATCATGGCTTGACTGTGTGTCTGTATATAAAGTTTATTTGATTAAGTAGGCGATAATAATTACAACATTCAAACCTATTAGTCTTGTAGGACGTTAACACCTTAAAATAGGTGGAAACCTTGTCTTATCTTTTTTTTTTTTACTAAATGTGTACAACACTGTCACCAATGATGTTATATAAAGCCAATTTCAATAATAATAAAAACTCTTAGATAAAAAAATAGGTAGAAAACAATGCATAAATGTTTCCACTCTTCTACTGGACTAGGGATTTTTTGATCTAATATATTATCTACATTTTTGAGTCCTGATATTAGCCATTTTACACCTGAGCTGCTCGGACTGTTTTATGCTATTAGGGCTCATGTACACTGCAGCTCCTAAACTGGCATTCAGGAGCTGTTCAGCGTTTTTTCAGCAGCCCCTGAACTCTCCCTAATGTTTTCCTATGTGTCCATGTACACATTGTCATTTACAGGCAGTTGAGTTTATAGTCATTTTTTTTAACACATTCAGGAGTAGATTTTACTGGCATTTCAAACGCCAAACGCTTGTAAATGCGGTCAGCCGCGGTTATAAGCGTTTACGTTTAGAAGTGTTTTTAACTCTTCCATGTCCAGATGCTGTCCAGAGCCTTTTTTCATCATCAGAAATGCATGCAATGCGTTTTCCATGTATTCAAATGGACCCAGTACACCAGTGCAGTCAGTTGCAGATTTTGCGTGAAGGAAAAAATGGTAGAACGTGCTGCATTATGCTCGTGATGGGATCCATAGTGAATACAACCAGAAAAGACAGGTAATCTCAACACATTCTGCTCTCTCTGCTGCTGCTCTCTCTATTCCTCTCAAAAATGTCTGAAATAGTTAATTTTTTACTATTTTTCAGTGCATTCTGGGCATTTGGCAAGGTCTCCTGAGGTTATCTTTTAAAAACGTTCTAAACACAAATGCGCATAAACGCGGTATGCAAACGCAGCTAAACTGATGTTTTTTTAACCCACGTTTTCCAGCAGTCATTTTCCATCGTTCAGAAGAGTTTTCCAAATGCCCCGTGTACATGAGCCCTTATCCTGAGTGCCATTGAACTGTTTTTCTTGGACAACTGATCATAGTTTGTTATGGAACCTAAAAGACATGTCTCTCTCTAAAACCCTGCTGAATAAATATCAATTCTAACAGTATGGGGAATTCAGCCTTTATATGGAACCCTGTTTGTGGTGCTTACCCACAGGTTATGTTCCCAAGTTTAGGCTTTGGTTTTTTTTTTCAAATGACTAGTTAGCTATTGAGTCATCCTAGAAGAGTAGCTATTGCTGGGATTATATTTTAAACATGACATATAAAAATGGCAATGATGAAAAAGTTGGCAAATGAGGACAAACCAATGCTATGCTATTCTGCTGACTATCCTACCAACAACAATGTCATATGTTAACAAAATAGGAGAATGACATGCAGGAGTAGTAATCAACTAATCAGACATCTTTAGAGTTCACACTGCTAAATTGGCAATAATGGAATAGTTGTTTCCCTGGTTATACTGATGGTATCACTGGTTCTAAGATAACTGAATTTTCTGTAGTTCTGCTTAAAATAAGAAAGTACTTTTTTCCACTTACTACTATAAAAGAGACAAATGGCATTCTGCCCTCTAGGACAGCTGAAATGAAGAGTTGGTTCCACCCACCCATTAGAAAACATAAAAAAAACAAACGTGTAACTGCCCATTCAAACCGTGGCTTGTGGTAAAGTACGGCATGCTGCACATTACCACAACGCTTGTCATTATTCAGGTATTTGTGCATTTTGATAGAAGAAGGGGAAGGAGAGAGAGTCGCCAAGCCTCCAGTGGTGTAGCAGGATTTATTCACCAGTGTATGTAAAAATACAATAAAATTGCAGTCACAAAAGTCACTTGAAACAGGCATAAACCAAGCTCTATGTGGAGCCACCAGTGCAGAGTCCACTCCTGACAGAGACCACTGAGATGATAGGAGCGCCGTGGAAGCCAGGGATCTGCCAAAAAAAACTTCAATAAAGGAGCTGTCAATGTAGCTATCGGATGCCACAAACTCTGCAGCCAATCAGGAATGCATTTTGGAGGCCAGACAATGCCTCCTTCATCAGCCTGTTTAAACAGGCATGGTCTGGCCCCTGAAACGCCTTCCTGAGTCTCCTGTGGCTGTTTTCTGCCCCAATGCAATGCCCTGGTGTTTGCCCATGATGAATTAGGCCCCTTTCACACTAACGCCCCACAGTGCAAGGGGACCTCTTCAGACTCTGATGTAAAGGAGAACCCTGATGCATGAGGGAACACACCAACCTTGCGCATTACCTCAGTAACCAAACTTTATTAGTAAAGGAATGGTACTCACAAACAGCGAATAAAAACAGGCATGTAAGTCCTCCAAGGGACTTCAGAGACAAGAGGCCAGTGCGAATCCCATCATGGGGGTAGACACTCAGTACAGCTGACGCGTTTCGAAGGTCGTACCTCTTCCTCAGAGCTTTTTTTTTTTCACTTTGCAGTATTGTTCGGGTGTCCCCAGCCTTGTTTTGGAGCTGCACGACCTTTCATGCTCTGGTGGTCATTTCATTTGGGTTTGATTTCACCTACTCGCCACTGGGCTGGGTCCTGGAGCGCAGGAGGAATCATATTTTGGCATGAGGGAACACTGCAGACCCTAATGTAAAGGGAAAGCTGCTGACTGTGAAGCAAGGGGAGTGGGGGGGGGGGCTTTGGTGACCAGAAACCATCTTACATCAGTGTTCTCCTTTGCATCACGGTCCACAGTGTCCCCCTTACATCAGAGTACCCCATTACATTAGGGTCCGCAGAGATTGCCCTTCCAAAGTAAGGGGGAGCTCTGCAGATTCTGATGTAAAAGAGAACTCTGAGAATGTAAGGGGAACTTTGGGGACTCTTGTGTAAGGGGGGGTGATTAGAGGCCCCTACAGTGTTCCTTTACATCAAAGCTCGCAGCATTCCCCTTTACACACAAAAGAGCATTTATATACAATTATTTTATCAAGAAAAAAAAGTCAGTCTTACTGTCTTTTTTGTTTGGGGGGGGGGGGGGGCGCTTCAGAATTCTCTGCCTATAGGCTCCTGAGATGTAAATCCGTCCCTGCCTCCTTGTAACATTCTCTGTGAGCTACAAAAGCTCTCCTTTTTCCCCATCACTTGTTTGTTTGGAATGATCGGTGGATGTTAGTTGCAGTCAGTGTGTGCTGCTCTATGCACAGGAGTGAGCAAGAGAAGGGTGGCTACGTTCCTACATGCAGTGGGGACCATGGAGAACGAATATAGCCACCCTCCAACAGGAAGTCAGATCACAGCAGCAAAAAAAAAGGAATTTGGATGTATGGAGGTGGTTTTTTTTTGGTTTTTGGGTTACGAATACTTGAAAAGAATGTTTTTTTAAACCAGAGTTTAGTGTCACTACATATAGTTTGAATAGGCCCTAAAGTGAATCCCAAAAATATATTGGTAAGTTACTTGGCATCCTCCCAAACTGGTAGTGTGTGTATGATTGAGGTAGGGAATGCTTCACAAGGAACAAAAACGGATGTGAATACATATATGGAATATTTTGTTGCTCAATAAATACTAGATACAAATAAATTAAACCATTTCCCAAGACTTCTAGACCTTCAGTTCTGTGTTCCTGGACAACCTCTTGTTCTTTTCTTTGGGTGGTGTTTCACTCTAATTTGTTTATGGATAAACTCAGAAAGAGAAAGGAGAGACCCAAAAGAGACCTTCAGAATCATTAAAAGGCATGTTTTACTCACAGTTATGTTATCAGTTATTCATTTTATTTATTTATTACAGGTGCTTATATAGTGCTGTCAATGTATCATAATATAATATACAGTATATTCACATCATTCCCTGCCCTCAAGGGGCTTAAAATCTAAAGTCCTTAACCCACATTCACACATACACATACTATGCCCTATTTAGACAGGAGCCAATAACCTACCAGCATGTCTTTGAAGTGTTGGAGGAAACTGGAGTATCTGGAGGAAACCCACGAAGGCACATTTTGCTTCTTTTTTAACCATTGCCTTTTCAGGGAAGCAGATTTTGAAGAGTTTCTACTACACATCAATTTCCCATGCACCTAGAAAATGTTTGGAGCCGTATAGTTCATTCTTTTCCTCTTTTAATCTAGTGATGCGCTATAGGAATTTCCCCATTCATGCTAAATAGCGGGCATGGACAAATCTCTACTGCCGGCTATTGGATTAGTTTTCTTTTATCATTATTTGAAACCTAATCAGTGAAAGGATTTTCCCTCCTGACAGGCTATTGGTCTTTCCAAAATGATATCATCCATACACATCACTTTTCCAACATGCCTAAAGGTTTGTGAGCAGGCCCGCACTGGCCATGCGGCACATCAGGCATTTGTCCTAACACAGAGTAAGTGGACACAGCCAAGCTACTAACACCAACATTTATAGGGGAGCTCAGATACAGCCGTTCCCCGAATTGGTATTCAGCGCCCCCCTTCCCTACATAGGGCAACCCTGGGCTCCTATTCCACTCACTGCTTACACACTGTGCCCCGCCCACCACACACCCTGCCAATCAGAGGTTACGTCACACTGCAGAGTCCTGTTCCCTGTGTCCAATGAGGGCGCTGCTGACATCTCCCTCCTCACCCAACACGTGTGACTGGCTGCTCCATAATGTGTTTGTGCAGCAAGTGCTCAGAGGAGCACAAAGATACCAAGAGAGGAGGGGGGGACCGGAGATGACAGGGGCGTCATGCGCTGCTCATTATCATAGTGGCTCTGTACAGCATTGTCTATGGGAGCTGTATAGTGTGTGCTGGGGGCTGACCAAATCTGTATAACCCCAGGTTCACACCTAAGCATTTTCTTCAGCATTTTGCAGAAACGCACAGCAGTCTATTTATCATGATTTCCTATGGGGCATGTGCACATTTCCTCGTTTTCCCCTGGTGCGTTTTTTTGGAAAGGGTCATGGACTTTTTTGAACGCAAAAAGTTGTGTTTTTTTGGTTCTATAGACTGCAATGGAAAGGCTGCAGAAAAGCATGTAGTGCGTTTTTGCTGCATTCTGATGCGTTTGAGCTGCATTTTGGGGTTTAAATCTGCCTAGAAACAAGAAAAATGAAAAAAAAAATGAAAAAAAAACCACAAAATGCATCAAAAACGCAGATGTAAAACGCAATGTAGAAACGGCTCAAACTCAACCTGGATAGGTGTGAACCTAGCCTTAGGACAGACCTGGAGTGTGGATATGGGGTGGGGGCACTTCCGGTTACTGCTTTCTCATCTATTGGCTAAATATAACTAAAAAACATTGACAAAATGATAGTTGTCATTATTTGCAATTTGGTTTAAAAAAAAAAAAAAAAAAAAATAGTCTGTTCAGTCAAAAATTCTCGGGCCTGGTTTGAGTGGTTGGATTTTACATGCTAATGATTTCATCTGATTTGTAAGGGAGTTGATGGTGTGGGTGTTCATGGTTGTTAGTGACTGTTGTATGTGTTTAGCTGCTGTTGTATGTTTCTGACTGCTTACCTGTTATGTTATTATGTTGTTTTGTGATTCTCTTTTGTTATATGTATGGAGTTTCTGGCCTACAATAGTTTGTTGTTTGTTTATTGATCCCCTTTTCTGTATCCTTATTCTTTGATTTTAGTTTTGAGTTCCTGTTATTATTTGTCTTTTCCTTGTACTGTTATTGTTTGTGTTTTATAAATGTAAAATAAACACCTTTTAAAAAAAAAAAATTACCGGGCCTATTTTTTTGTTCCAGTCTGGGCCTGTCTGTGAGACTGAAATTCGTTCATTAATTATCCATGTACTACAGAACAATCTCAAATAACATTGGAGCTCACTGCATTGCATAGGAAAGCCATATGGTGCAACCAAAATTATAGACAGTATTGTTATGCTACATAATCTGTCTCTGACTGCAAATCATTTGTATCATTCAATTTTTTTTTTTTACTGACAGGTCTACCAATTAATACAGTTATAAAACTCCTATTTGGGAGGGAAATTTCGAAGAATATAAAAGCATCTCATCAAGCTTTTCAAAATTCAAAGGCAAACAAAGAAACTCTTTTTGTAAGTGGATGTTTTTGACTGGAAATTATTTAGGATAAGTGAGCTTTTTTTTTCCCCAGGATTTTTATATATGTACATTTTACACGGCACTTGTGTAAAATGTGTTGATGATTACTGGATTGTCAGACCATGGATAATGTAATTCCATCATTTTTATTTACCTTTTCCACATTGTTTTGACAAAAGCCACATCACAATCAGTGTTCCACATTTTTGCTTATTTAGATAAATCTATTTCCTAAATCTGTCCTTCCTCAGTGCAGGTCTAGATACTTTGAGCAGTAAGCAACTATTGGCCAGTTCATACCAGAACGCAGTTCTTGAAACTTGTGTTCTGTGTGCGTTTCCCGCACTGCACTTGGTAGCTGAAGCGGGTGTCAGTGTTAATTTAAAGCGGAGTTCCACTCATCCTGTCAAAAAATAAAAGTCAGCATCTACAAAAACTGTAGCTGCTGACTTTTAAAAAACAGCCACTTACCTGTCCCTCGGTCCCCATGGTGTGTCCCCCGCAGCCCTTTTCACCTACCTTCCTGGAGGCCGGCATCTTCATTGTGGGCACCCGGCTGTGATAGCTTGTGGCTTCACAGCCGGGTACCCACTGCACATGCGCAAGTAGCGTTGCGCTTCATGAATGGTCCTGTAGTCATCTGGGACCTGTCACGTGTCCCAGAAGACTACGGGGAGGGAAGGAGGGAGGACACCTTCCGTTTCCGATCGCCTAGGCGGTCCGACCGTAATGGGAGCTGGTACCTGTCAAATTCAGGTACCCGCTCCCCCCCTTCCCCCAAAGGTGCCAGACTTTAATGGGGAGTGGGGGAGCAGTCCTTAAAGTGGAACTTCCCCTTTTGGGTGGAGCTCCGCTTTAATAACACCCCAAATGCAGGTCGCAAACACAGTGTGTTTCCCTGCATCGATTGCATTGTACTTTAGTACCATGCGATCCAGTTGCTGTGCATTTTATAAAGTAGTGCACGCACTACTTTTGATGTGGTCCAGTGTGATTTCAGCCCATTCCAAGGAATGGGCTGAAATTATTCTGCAGCCAGATCACTTATCACGGTGTCTATTTGTCTATTGAACATAGAGGCAGAAGGAAGCTGAGGTTGAAAATCAACTGCTACCCTTGGAGAAGATGGATTAAATACATATTTTAGAGATGAGTACGGTACATTAAAAAAATAAATTTGTTCTAATGACAGCTTGCCCCAGTCTCCTCTTGCTATTTGAAGCAGATAAAATCAAAAGGAAAGCATTCAGCCTGGCCCTTTACTTTTTAAAAAGCCTGGTATGCATCAACAACATTGGTATTTTGGTAGGAGGGACTCTATTCCCCTTTGTGTTTTCTGTTCAGTCCCCACCAGGTGATAAAGGGAATATGAGCAGGGGGATGGGGGGCATCTGCTACTTCATGCATGAAGGGTTTAGCTGGTATTGTTAAGGGAGGAACGTGTCTTGCAGCAGTGTAGTTGATGTTATCAAATATGAATAAGGCCTGAAAATAGTCCTGGATGATGGACAATGCTATGTGTCTCTGCTACCATGGCTATAGATAGACCAGTGGCCACTCTGTGCCTGGAGAAAGTGTAAAACTTTAGTTAGAAAAGTCCTGCTGGATTACTTAAGGCTGCCCCCCTTCGCATGTATAGTTATGTAAAACATAAAAAAAGGGGCTATACTGTTAAAAATTCCGAAATACACTGTCTCAACCTGCACTGCACATGCTCAGTTGCTTTCTATTTTTAGCCAGATTTGTAGAGGCCAATCTGCTGACAGCCTAAAGATTTACTGCTCCTCCTGGGCTCTGGGCTTCAGCAAATGGCAGCTTCCAGCAAGAAGAAACAGGAACAAGGCTGGAGGCAATTTACAGAACACACTAATTTTGGTGGCATAATTATTATTATTATTATACAGGATTTATATAGCGCCAGCAGTTTGCTCAGCGCTGTACATTATAATGGGAGACAATACAGCAACAATACAGTTCAATACAAGAGGGATAGGAGGGCCCTGCTCCTTGGAGCTTACAATTATTATGTGGAATATATGTTTCTTGCTAAAGAACATTATTTTTTTATCAAGTTGTTATTGGTAAAGTTCCACTTTCAGTTAGTAAAGGTAAATCTGTTCATGCAGTATAGGTGTTCATATTGATCAGTTGAAAAAAGTAGACATGCTTGGTAACTCTGACATCCACTTCCACTTGAAGAGTGATTTTCAAGATGTTCATTTGTTCCCTTTTTCTTTGATTACAGAGAATTATTGAAGATCTTACCAGGATCATCACTAATGGGTCACAGGAATCTACTGAGTATTAACACCATCTCCAAGGGGTGCAAAATCTAAAACACTTTCGAGGAATTGTTAAGACTAACCTCATGGCCATATATTGTATATACCATAGGTGTAGCCTTTTATGACATTGGTTAAACAGATTCCATACCTGTCATATCTTGGACTCATGTATTGCTGCAGGCAGAAATACATTGTAACAAACTCATAGGGAAAGAAGGAGATGACTTCAGAATGATATTGAAATGCACACTGAGAAATAAGTCACAAAGAAAACTGAAAACTGCTCCATAATCAGATCAGGCTCGCTTTTTTCTATGTATAGTTCTTGACACAAGAAATTTAACATTACATGTTAATTAAAATGACAGTCAAAAAACAATTTTCAAGAAACAACCTACACTATCCATATGTACTCTAGGAATTGTACTGATATTCATATTCTGATAGCCCTGTAACTATTAGAGAATTTAAACATTTGTGTTTACTGTGTAGCACATTTGTAGTCTGCTTGCCATGTTTTGACTTGTGATTATTTTAAAAAATGTCTTGTTAGGTTCATACACTTGACATGCAGACATATGTGTGATCTTGAATGTTTACCATATCAAAAATAGGTGAAGTCAGTGTTCAGGAATGTCTTGTCATCTAGGACAAGTGTTTTATCAATAATATTATACTGTACGTTTACGCTCTACAATCAACCACTGCACTTAAAGTACAACTAAAAACAAAACATGGATAGAGTAAAGAGGGATTAGAACCCCTGTCAGTTGTTATTGCTGTCTGTGTCTCAGTTATGGAGATTCCCCCTCCCTATTTGTCCTGTTTACCATTATCAATGAAAGTAAACAAAAATCCAATATTTGGGTTGTCCCCAGAAAAGTAATAGAGGGGAACTCTTCCAATGGAGACACAAGTTCTGGTGACCTGGGGGTCCCCTAGGGATTTCCTCTCACTTCCTGTTTTGACTATGAGACAGGAAATAAAGGGAATTCTCCCCAATGGGACACAGATGGCAAGAAAAAAAACCACAAGGTTTATGATCCTCCCTCACTGTATCCAGAATGAAAAGAAAAAGTTTTGTCTAGAGTTCTACTTTAAAAATATAAATAAACAACACCATTCAGTACTAATCTGGCTTGTTTACACTTAAGTTGGTCATAAACATAATTGGTCAGAACTATGTGCAAAATCAAACCATCTCACAACTGTCTTCTGGCCCAACTTCTGCCTTCCCCAGAAAATCATTTGTTACAAGAGTATTCCTATTTAAGCAGCAGAGGAAGGGACAGCTTAAAGTGTTACTAAACCCCGGACCCTGCATTCACTATATCTGGTCTCCCACAGTACACAAAACATAGAAGTGCAATTATTTTAGTAAATATAAGCTGCTAAATATCTTTTCTCATCAGCAGTTAGAGCAGTTTTGTGACTTTTATCAGTGTCCAGCAGAGCACTGGTTAAAGCTTGTAGGAGGAGTTTTCTTTCTGCTCTAGGAGGATGCAAAACCCCTGACCGATGTCTGGACAGTGCTGATTGGCCCTGTGCTGATCACATGCACTCTCCCAAGAGAAACAAAACCTATCTAGCAATACACACTAAACTGAGCATGTGCAGAATGGCTGCGGTTCAGTCTGTCTTATCTGGAGATCAGACGTGGACATTTGAACAAGAGGAGGAGCAGAGAAGTCAGGATCAAACACCGTTTATACACAATGCAGAGGTTAAACCCCTTCGGTTCCGCAGTGAGCATAACAAGTATGCTTTACTGCATATACAGACTAAGTGTACTGTTGTGGGTTTAGTAGCACTTTAATTTGGAGGAAACAATAGAAATTGGGAGACTTTCTAGTCTATCTGATCAGTTGGTCGACCAAGATTGTTGGTTCAGGACCCCTAGAAATCTGGCGAGTTTTTTCAGGGAACCTGCTACAAGATACATAGAATGGGTTCCTGCAGTAACAGTTTTGTTCTTGGCTTTAGATACACATTGGGGGTTATATACTAAGGCTGGAGAGTGCAAAATCTGGTGCAACTCTGCGCAGAAACCAATCAGCGTCCAGGTTTTATTGCCAAACTTTAATTGAACGAGCTGAAGTTAGAAGCTGATTGTCTACCATGCACAGCTGCACCAGATTCTGAGTGCTCCAGTTTTAGTACATCTTCCCCATTGAGCTTAGGTGTATAGTGAGGTTTCAATCATTACTGTGTAGGTACCCTTTACTGCACAGTAGTTTTAAAGCAGGGGTCTCCAATCTTTCTAAACTAATGGCCAGTTTATTGTACTTCAGGCTTTAGGATGGCCAGACTGTGGCCAGTGGGAGTAGAAAATTCCCCAGTGTCAGTAAACAATGCCCTATCATTGGTTTTATTGGGAGGAATAGTGACCAATTGTATTAGTGGGAGGAATGGTCTTCCATCATTGGTATCAGTGAATGGTATGGTGCATCATCGTTGGTGTTAGTGGATGAAATGATGCCCTATCATTGGTGTCAATAGATGGAATGTGCCCCATCACTGATGTCAGTGGATGGACTGTTACTCCATCATTGATGTCAGTGGATGGAATGGCCCCCATGAGCCGGATATAGGCAAGCAAAGGGCCACATCTAGCCCACGGGCCATGGTTTGGAGACCACTGCTTTAAAGAAAAGCTTAGTACGTATGTAACCTTACACTTCAATCCTTTATGTTACATGTAAGGTGGGGTGGATGCACATCACAAACTCCTCCCCTCCAAAGCACAGAAAGCCTTTTCTTCAGTGAAAAGAATACAAGGTTTTTTTTTTTTTTTTAAGAAGATGTGTAGAACAAGCAACCTGCTATGGTCAGTGTACTACCACCAGAACTACAATATTTGGCCATTGATGCCTGTCCCAGCAGCCAAACATGGGACAGATATCAATAGAGGTAATTTATTTTTACACAAAAAATACCCAAATATTTTTTCCCCAGAGGTTAGCATGAACAAACAGTCACACCTTGCGTTTTGTACTCCAATTAATATCTGCCTTGGGTACATAGTATGGTAACTGGAATATGGTGGTTGGACTCATAAGGGGTGGTCCTTCCCATCAGGGAAACTAAAAAAGTCATGACCTGGATGACTGAATGCCTTCACACACATAGAAAGATCTCGAAGCATAGCTTCCTTTTTTACAGAACAATTTGGAGTGGGTTATAAAACAAGTTGATATACCAACCTGTTAATGACAATCCCTTCTGTTTACATGTTCTGCTATATTATATAGTGTATCCATAAGGTTTTACCATTTTATACACTTACCGATTCATGCAGGACTGTGGTGGTTTACATTTTACCTTTTTAAATTATCCAGTATTTCCATTAATAAATGTTTACGTTTTTACTCTCTTTGATATTGACTATATACTGTGTGTGCATGTATGGATATATATGTGTGTGTGTGTGTGTGTGTGTGTGTGTGTGTGTATATATATATATATATATATATATATACACTTTTTTTTTTTTTTTCTTACATATTGTGGAAAAAGCACATATTTTAGTTATTTATAGGGGGGTAAAGAAGTTACAGCCAATGGTAACCATTTTTCAGTTTTCATTTGTCCAGTTGCTGAGGCGTCGTCAGAATCTTCACATTTATACTAGTAATGGTGGTGATCAGCGACTTACAGCGGGACTGCAGCGGACATTCTGACACTGGGGAGGAACTCACTTGGTGTCACTGACATCCCCAGTGACACTAATACAGTGATTAGTGCTAAAAAAAAAAAAAAGCACTGACAATGTACTAATGGCTCTGGGCAGGAAGGGGTTAACATGAAGGGCGATCAAAGGGTTAACTGTGTGCAGGGAGTGGTTTACTAGGGGACAGTGTCAGTGTGCTTCACTGCAATCACACTGCTTTGGATGGCTGTGCTGTGCAAACAAACTAAACAGTTCTCCCCATCGGAGATCTTTGGAAATCTCCGGGCGCATGCGAGTAATTACCAGCTGGGACCCGGTGATTGACAGTCAAGGCCGCAAATGGCGGCATGGGTGGGGCGCGCGAGACCCCTACCCAGAAATTCAAAATCACATATATATATATATATATACGTGATTTTGCGCACCCATGCCGCCCTGTAGCAGTATTTCTGCTATAGGGAGGCCGGGAAGCAGTTAATGACACCCCTAACGCAGGTCGCAAACATTTTCCTGCATCGGATCGCATGGTACAAATTTAACATGCGATCCCCTTTGAGTGCATTCCCAAAAGTAGTGCATGAACTACTTTTGGTTCAGTGCAATTTCAGCTCAATCAAAATGAATGGGATGAAATCGCACAGCACAGAACTGCACCTGAAACGCACAGGAACACACTGGTGTGAACAAGCAGGGCAGGGGAGTGTTAGATGGACTAGCAGATTTGGATACAATAACAAATTGAAACCAAACTCAAGCTAATACTTTATAAGCAGTTTTTTTTTTCTTTTGGGATCAGTGTGATTTCGTTGACGACAATATTTTTCATCATAATTTTCGTCAGTGGCATGTTTTCAGTGACAAAAACTAGATGAAAATTAATTTGGAATTTTCGTCAATTGATAAAAACTATGACAAAAAATTAATCGCACATGTCATCAGTTTTGAACACAATTTCAGCGCGGTTTGCTCTCTAGTCACAGAATTGGCAGCTGTATGAAAAATCCTGTCCTGAGACGAATCTAAACCTGTCCTGAACCTGATCTAATCCTGTCCTTAACCCCGATCTAATCCTGTCCTTAACCTGATCTGATCCTGTCCTGAACCTGATCTAATCCTGTCCTGAACCTGATCTAATCCTGTCCTGAATCTGATCCAAACCTGTCCTGAGCCATCAAATTGTGTCCTGAACCAGACCTAAACCTGTCCTGAAATTAATTTAATACTGTCCTGAACCTGATCTAATCCTGCCCGGAACCTGATCTAATCCTGTCCTGGATCTGATCTAAACCTGTCCTGAGCCATCTAATCTTGTTCTGAACCGGACCTAAACCTGTACTGAACCTGATCTAATCC